ATAGGTTCCGAGGGTTGAACCCGAGTATTGTTCGTTAGAATACGATGAGAAACAACGCCCCCATTCCCGCACCCCAATCAGTCAGTCATTCAGTTACACATTGCGTACCTGTTGATTCTGGGTGACTGGACTTTTAATTGTTTCCAGTCTAAACTGACCTAACTTGTTCCATTGTTATCATGAAAAAGCCGTATGCAATTATTTGATAAACAACTCGTAAATGTTTATAGAGAAGCAGCAAATGACACAATTCGCAATACTCTCGTTTATATGTTCAATTCTATCCACATTTTGTATGTTCTGCTGAACAAAGAGAAGCGCTCATGTTTCCGAAAATTATATCGATTGACTGATTTATACACGTACAACTGAAACGCGTTAACTTAAGTTTATGAGGTGTTATACTATCTTTGGTATTAATCAACAAGTTGAGAACAGATATGAACAAATTTTCTCTGTGATTTGTTCTAGTTGACAAGTATTGTCTGTATTTAGCAAAAAGGTAATATTAATGAAAGCCCCACAATTTTAAGGTCAAATTGAGCGTCAAAAGAAGTTTGGGAGGTTGGGGTCTTCGACAGATATCGGCATTATCCGTTCATGAGAAAAATTAGCCAATATGCTGCTTATCTGGGGTAAAATGTCTCCTGCATTTATGAAAATCAAGGCGTTTTAGCAAATTTATTCCAAATTTCATGGGAAAATCATAGCGAAACGACAGCGGAGGACTCAAATATTGTCCTATTTCAATCCTGATTTTTATATATGAAATTTTTAAAAGGCTTTTTACAGAGTCCCAGTATTTTTGGCACATAATTTTATCAGATATATGCTTTGCGTTCGGGAACATCGGGAAAAACTTGAATGTCGTCATATTATCTGCATCCTTCGTGAAACTATTGTAATGAAACAGTTTCACGCACCGACAAGATCATTAATTTTCACATACATACATAAAAAAGATGTAGCTAATAATGGGTAAGCACTGTCATGTCAACATGTATCATTTATCTAGAAAGTTATTACGTTTTATGGGTATGTAATTTCTTATTTATTGTTTTTCACTTCCTTGTCAACTCCAGACTATTACTGCCTCGCGTGGTTTGCCAAGTACCGGAACACGTTACGTGGCTGCACGCTACATGCAAGACTATTTCGATCCACCCCCAAGGCATGCGAGAAATTTCACACTGGGTGCGCTGCCGACCGTCAAACGTGCGAAACGATTCGCTTCAGCGCAACCGGAAAATTCCGTGTCGGCTGAAACAACCACAAATTTACTCCTGGTTGATGTGTTCACCGCAGGAATGGACCTGGAAATCAACTTTGACAATAAGCTACTGGTCGTCGGTCAAGAATACAAAGTAAGTTGGGGACTTCATTTAGATGTATTCATTGTAGATGACAAATTAGCAGGATTTCATATGTCACTAGAAGTACAGCGAGGGAGTGATCCATAAATCACCTCTGCAATATGATTGAAATGAAACGTCTGTTTTATGGATCACGACAACCAGAATATTCACTTTATTTGCAGACGTATTAAACACCTAGCGGTATCTCGTCATGATGTATGGTGTGTAACCACACACTAAGAGGTATGGTTGTCCGTAACGGTTGTCATTCAGCGTCGTCTGGTGCGAATGTTTCAACTGAATAACCCCAGTTGGTATTGGCTATATTTAGTCACTGTAAAATATGTGCATGTATATTTTGGATTCGTCCACAGCAACACTAACTGGCTGACTGCAGTTCAAAGAATCCAGAGTGGGTGTTCATCCACTCTGGTGTCGAGTCGTATGAGTTAGTTTTGAAAAGACGTCCTTATTATTCACGAAACGTGGACGAATCAAGTCGGAATAAGGAACGATTTTCAGATTTGATCAATCCGGTTTCCAGCATGCAAACACGTTTTGAAGGATAGTTTATTTACAGTGCAGTCATTCTAGAGAAGTTGACTCTGGATTCCCAAAGAATGTTTGGTTAAATATTCGAATCATCTGTTTCGATCAAAATGAAAATGTGAAATAAGGATGTTAGCGATTCTCGTGCTGTAACTGATCAATTTCTGAAATAAATGGTATACGGGAAAATAAAATGTGCAAATAAAGTTCAGTCTTTCCTTTTAACGTTTGAACCGGAATAAATTAATGTTCTGAACTGTCACTTGATCAACAAACCAGGCTTTTATTCGAGCCTGTGTATTTCAAGATGACCAGTCAACCGGGACCGGTCCAAACGCATGCACCTCGTCCGATTGGTCACTCGGTTTCGGTCCGGATCGACCGGTGCTGCCGTGGAACGCATTAGGTCAGTCGGAACTGGACGAGTATGGCCCACACTCTTTGCACGGAGCTTCGGACGATGGACCCGGACGTTCACGCAGTTCCGGTCCATTTGGTTTTCAAGTTGGTGGAAACGATTTGTTTGTGATTGCCGTGGTAGCGGTGATTGTTGGTCTGACTCTGGTCGCTGTGATCTGCATCGCCTTCGGTTGTTTTATGCGGTACGTTGGTCTGTTTCTGTTTGGATACTAGCGATGTATTTTGTGCGTAGAGCAAAAGAACTCTGTATTGATATTACCAGTGTGCGAGAATTTCTGGTTATGGTTTCGAAATTTATGCATAAATTGCTAAGGATTACGACAACACTCATGGAAAAAAATTGTCAGTTACTGTTAGGAACTGTTTTGACTCATGTTTCCATTAACCGGTGAAATTGCGCAGTATGTATTACGATCGCCACAAATGTTTTCTTATCGATGAGTTATCATAATTTCAGCTGTACGCATTTACTCCATATTATTTAATCGAGGAAGAAATTAGGTCAACTTTTCCGAATTTTACGTTGAAACGAAACTATGCATACGTATAACTACTTATTGAAACTAACTAAAAGATTGCACAACACTGATGTTTTAGTACCGCTGGGTAAAATTTTAACTTACGCTGTTAATCTATAGTGTGAGGCAGGTGGATGACAGGGATGATCAAAACAGTCCAAGCCAAATCTCAGTATGCATCTGCAAAGCGAAGGAATCAACTCACGACAGATATCGAAAAGTCGTGTCAGTAGGGGTAGACGTTCGCCCCGGTGCTCAAAGGGTTAAGTTCAAACCCCGATACCGCCGCTCATCTATCCAATTGAAGCATTTACCCAGGCAACATTTGTGTAGCTGCAGCTCTCTTTCTGAAATTTGACTATACGTTGGTTTACTCAACAAATGAAGTAAAAGCAGTTGCTATTATTATTATTGTTATGAATAATATTTGATAAAACTGCTTTTTGTTGAATTAGCTGAACACAAAATGGTAAAATTATTTAATTAACTAACCGCTGTAGCATGTGAAACAAAAAAATGAGTGACTGTGGAAAACGATGTCCCTTGGATTCTCATCTCGGTGATGAGGATTAATGAACGAGTTGAGTGAACTGGGTAGTAACTAAAATCCCTGTTCGAACACAATTGGAAACCGAAACATGCTCCAAAACCTGTGCACTTGAACGAAATACACCCCGATCTGACCCACTTTCAATATACACTATCAATGACGGACTGTTTTCTGTGCTATTCATCCCTCTCTTATTCAGTTATCCATTTTCACTCAAGGGGGAGACACCTGGCAAATGAGAGAAGAGACAAGAGGATAAAATGACAGTGTCTGACAATCCCCCGGTCTCCTGTTCGCTCACGGTAGATGTGCTAAGGAAAGTTGGGAAAAGCGGTTGAAAACTTCCGATCAGTTCAACAGTTGATTCCGATTGGATACCAATTGTACAAGGAAAAGGGAGCAGCACTATGATTGGGTTTTTATTTTTGCTATTGGCAAGTAGCATGTAGCAGGATATGCCACAACTTGCCTACTCCATTCCGATCGAAGTCACTGAATGCGGCAACTTGCTTCCGGAAAAGAATAGCAAATGTGGAATCTGCGCAGGACTGAGGGGGGGGGGGGGNGGGGATGAAACACTTTTTGAACATGAACAAGACATGAATCCTGGTCTTGTCATTTTTGCCTGTTTTGAAATTTAGTTCAGGCGAATCATGAGCCGTCGCGTGGAACTGATGAAGACTGCGGTGGTGGTGGGGCGGGGCGGGGGGAGTGAGAAAGATCGAGTTTCCGATTTCCAAACATAGGAGCGCAGTTTCCACTGAAATCGGAACCCATGTCAGTCAGACTTCGCTTTTCCGGTAATGATGATTATCCATCATTAACCTGAATCCTGAATGTGTATGCAGGGAATTCATGCAAGTGAATGCTTCTCGGTTTACCATGCATCGTTCCCCTCCCCTCCTCACTCCGTAATCCAGGTAAATGCAACACCATTGATTATCGTCGGTGATAAATCCCGTTCGCTTTTCTATGTAAAATTAATCGCATTGAGGCTAAGCATACGTAAAAGATTGGAAAAACTGGATTAAAAACCGTTTATGAATAACGACTTTTCATTACTTGTTGTTGTGCGCTTTGTAAATATATTGAAACGGATTTTACATACGGCGGAACTTTGGCGCTCCGATCTAAAGATCTCAAAGATTGTTGATCGTGCGCATTCGATTCTACATGTAACGACACAACTTTCCATAAAAGCAGTATGTAATACCGATATTTGCTCGGCAGGGACAGTCATTCTTTACACAGAAGAATGTTCGCAGAATTCGTTGAAAACACTGAATCATTAACATTTTCAAGGCGTAAAAAAGCACTTAAAATGTTACTAGACGGTACGGAACAAAATTTTCGGTGATGGTTGGATAAAGATGACCTGATAGATAGATAGATAGATAGATAGATAGATAGATAGATAGATAGATAGATAGATAGACATAGATAGATAGATAGATAGATAGATAGATAGATAGATAGATAGATAGATAGATAGATATTGGATGGATATATCACTAGAAAGATAGATAGACAGATAGATAGATAGATAGATAGATAGACATATAGATAAATAGACAGATAGTTAGATAGATATTCAGATACATAGATAGATAGATAGATTTATAGCATAGATAGACAGAAATATGCATAGATATATAGATAGATAAACAATCGATGGACCATAGATAAATAGACAGATAGGTAGATCGACAGATAGATAGGTAGATATATAGATAGACACGGATAGATAAATTGATAGATAGATAGATAGATAGATAGATAGATAGATAGATTGATTGATTGATTGATTGATTGATTGATTGATTGACTGATTGATTGATAGGACGCAAATTCTTTCTTTTCATTTGCGCATCCTTCCTTCCTTTTTGTTTACTCTTCCACAGAAGACGACGTCGTCCAAAATTGCTAAACCACCTGAACTCTACCGATCCCACATTAAAGCAACCGCTAATGCGGCTGAACGAATGTGGGTCAGCTAATGGAACAAATGTCGCAATGGTAACCAGCGGTATAGACCTTGTCACTTCCAATATCACTGCACAAAGCCTGATCAATGACAAACGCAGCAGTCTGGCCACTGGGCATGGAAGCGCCCCCGGAAGTCATATCCTATCTGCATCTTCTCCGATGGCAGCCCATGCTCCTCTTCTGGCTTCGGTTACAGCGTCTGGAC